TATCTGTGGGGGGCAGTGTGTGTGTAATGGGGGGGAAGGAGGCTTTTTAATAATATTTTTTTTTATTTAATAAAATATTCTATGTCCTTTACTGGGGAGGAGGGGGGACATTTCCCTGGTGGTCCGGTGGGGGATTCATTGGTGGTCCCAGTGGTGAGAGTGCACTCTAGCCCGCGCTCCCGGGCTAGAGTTCACTCTCGCAAGATTTGGAGCATTGCCGTGGTAACCGCGGCAACGCTCCAAATCTCGAGAGAGGAGGACCCGGAGGAGCTGCAGACTGAGCTCCGGGTCCTCTCTCACTCCCTCTCTCCGCCGCCTGCTGTCAGCACAGTGCCTGCGGACCGGGGAGGGAGAGCTCTGATCTGTGATCTCCCTCCCCGGTCCGCAGGCACATTGCAGGGCTGGCACTTGGGCAATGCAAGCCCTGCGTTAGCCGGCGGGGGGGATTCTCGGGGGGGCAATTGCCCCGTTGCCCCCCCCTGGATCCGCCAATGATTCGGTATAATAAGCGATATTGGGGCTTGACAAATTTGTTTAGAATCTAGGAGCCAGCTAAAAAAGTTGGGAGCCAGTGTTTTTAAAACTCATTTTAAGTTTCATTTTCAACTGGAAAAATGCAATTCTTAAGGGACACTATAGACACCAAACCACTACTTCTTAATTATTATTATTATTATTTAATTATTTATATAGTGCCAGCAAATTCTGACAGAGACACACACACACTGACACACACACACAAACTGAGATTTTAAATTTTAATTGAAATCCACCCTGCCTCCCTACCTGTGTGCGAGGGAGCAGTAATATATCTGCAGCTCCTCTCTGCACCCTTACGCTTTCTGTAGTGATGCCAGGGCTGGAGTGACATCATATTGGCTCCCGGCATCATTAAACAGTGCAAAAGTGAGCAGAGAGGAGCTGTATTTATATTACTGCTCCCTCGCATGCTGCCTACAATGCCCCCGCGAGTGGCTGGCTTCCATGCTGACCTGGCGGATAGGATTTGTCGAGCCCTGATATAGATTGACATAAACAATAGCAACATTGGTGACAAGTAGCTATAGCCCTTCTCCCAGCAGTTATCTGACTCCATTTCCCAGAACTCTCAACCAGTCTTGTGACAATAGCAGAGCAAAAGTTACCTCTTACCTACACCTCACTTTGTTAACATGGATGTGTGTGACATCGGGATGCACTGCTAACCTAACATGGTGAAACTAAACAATCTGAAGCACCCAGAAGCAATGGCTGTCTAGGGTGGAAGACATTAAAGGACCACTCTAGGCACCCAGACCACTTCAGCTTAATGAAGTGGTCTGGGTGCCAGGTCTAGCTAGGGTTAACCCATTTTTTCATAAACATAGCAGTTTCAGAGAAACTGCTATGTTTATGAATGGGTTAAGCCTTCCCCTATTTTCTCTAGTGGCTGTCTCATTGACAGCCACTAGAGGCGCTTGCGTGCTTCTCACTGTGATTTTCACAGTGAGAGCACGCCAGCGTCCATAGGAAAGCATTATGAATGCTTTCCTATGTGACCGGCTGAATGCGCGCGCAGCTTTTGCCACGCGTGCGCATTCAGCCAAATGGGAGGAGAAGAGGAGGATCGGAGGAGGAGAGCTCTCCGCCCAGCGCTGGAAAAAGGTAAGTTTTAACCCCTTTCCCCTTTCCAGAGCCGGGCGGGAGGGGGTCCCTGACGTGGTCCCTGAAGTGGTCCTTTAAGACGTCTGAAGATTTTATAGCATCCCTATCAAACAGTCGTGCTAAATATCCAGTTACCCCTGGAATGCATATTTGTCTACAAGGTAATCTTCTCTCTAGGTCCAGTAAACGTTACATCCTGACCTTATGATTTTATGATTCGGGTTGGCAATTTGGTAAAAGGGGGGCGGGGAGGTCCATTCTGGTGCTCTTTTCCAGTGATAATGCCCGACTGGGTGACTCTTGTAAGGCCAACATAATGTCACCTTGATTTAGATCAAATCAAACTTTGATTATTTGTCTATCTAATCCTTCCAAATTGATTAATTAATACATGCACGCTCTTCCTAGAAGTAATTCACACCGGAGACAAAGTTTCTGATTAGTGAAAAACCTGAGGAATGCTTTATTCCCTGGAGTGGGAGCCCCTTTTAAAGCAGAAATACATCATGTACAGAGTCACAGTTAACATACAGTATACATTCAACGATTGGTTAACAGTTAATCCGATGGAACTTACTTTAATAATTTTTATTTCCTGCTTTATAAATTAAACTTTAATCACACACAGGAGGCTACTGCAGGGTCGAGCAAGATAGTAACAGAGCAAGAGACAAGAAATTATAAAATAAACTGAATTTTCAATAAAGGAAGTGTAAACAATAGATGACTCTTTACAGGAAGTGTTTAAGGAGGTTGTGTAGGTCACATGCAGGGAGGTGTGCCTAGATCTGCATAAACAAGGTGATTTAACTCCTAAATGGCAGAGAATTTAGCAGTGAGACTACATTAGCATGATCTATACACCAACACTGTTTCATTAACCTAAAGTTGTTATGGTGACTATAGTGTCCCTTTAAGTAACGTACAGTATATTATTTAATTTATCATTTAACAGTGCACATAAGGTAATAATATAAAATATGCATGCAAGTAATATTCACTGACAAGCATGGTGGGAAAGTGGTCAACAACACCTGAAATGCCAATTCATCACTATTATCGGCTAATAATGAACAATTGTAATTTCTCACATCAATGTGTTAATGGGTTTATAAAACACTGTGGCTTTTGTTTTTGACAAAATGAAAATATCAGACCTTTAAAAAAAAAAAAATGAGCTCAAGAAATTGTGTAAAAAAGCCTCTGATCCTAAAAATATCTGATGTTAACCAATGTCAGCCGCACCAAGTTGATCCAGCTGCATCCTATCATTATTTCAGATCTTGATTATTTTGGCATCTCTCTCAGCTTTTGGACACAAGTCAGCGTGTGAAAAAATAGCTCTGGGTCCCAGTAGTTTGGAAACAGCTGCCAAAATGTGTACACGGAAAAAAAACCAAATAGTTCCAGAGCAACTTAGCGTTGCTTCTGATTAAAGCTTTACTGAGGATTGGATGGCAAGTTTTATACTGGGGTCATTATTGTATACCTGTGCCAGGCTGCTACAGTGGTATGTTGAAGAGCAAGGCATAAAGGGGCAAATATTCAATTTACAAACGTGAAGTGAGACAAAACAAGTAAATGTTTCATATTCTTTATTTTTTGTTGCTCTCTCCAGTTAACGTTTTCACAGCATGCTGGTGACCAGCGTGCAATGGTGGCATCCCCTCAGCCTGTCCTCCCTCTATATCCTTTCCGTTCAGCGAGGAGTAGAATCGTAAGCCAGGCATCCCAACCATTCCTGATTTCAGCAGGACAGTTACGATTTTTAGGTCATGTCCAGCCGTCCTGACTTGTTCCATCGTGTCTCCAAAAGCGGTCCCAAATAGGCACAATGGGAGAGCATCAGGGCATATAGCTAGAAGCGTAACTAGAAACCACAGGGCCCCATACATCTACCCCGACTCCCATATGTTGCCCCCCTACACATTCAGACAAACAGATACACATGCAGACACACACATAGACAAAACAAAGAGTAGAGTCAGCGCTAATCGGAAAGGCAGCAGTCCCAAACAAGGACTCCCTCAAATGTCCTTGGAATAGATAAGCAAAAGCAAATAGATAGGGGATGGGTCTGCGCCAAAATACAAAATAAATAACAATAACAAGTCCAGTAGAGTAAAATATTGAATTTTATATGTGGTCTCCGAAGTTGTAGGGTTCTACTTGTTACGGTATCCAAAAAATGTGGAGGAGGGTGGTGAGTGATGAGAAAGATGATCCAAAATAGTAAAAATCCAGCTCTGGTGTGAATGGCTTGCAGCGGTATTATCCCCGCTTACAGGATATACGGCGAGTATCCTCTTCTATGTAGTGACAGTAAGCCAAGTGGGAGATAAAAATGGAAACAATAATGGTGCAGTATGTTCCACACGTGAAATAAAAGATGTTAAAATATAATAGATACACTCACATTCGGTAGAGCTTCTGCTAGCTCTAGTGTTGTACGCGTACAGCGGTATAATCCCCGCTTGTAGGATATAAGATGAGTGTTCTTGATGGTAGTATCAGGAGCTCGGAGAGAAGATAAAACAGCGATAGTACTCTCAATAGAATATTGTTGATGTATAAAATAATAAAATATACTTACAGTGTATAGGGCAGGCTAACTGCTCTATGATAAAGGCGTAGGTGGTATAATCCCCACCTGGGATTCTTTGGAGTATAATACCAGGAAGTAAAATAAATAAAAGGAAAAAGTATATAAAAATATATATAATATAAAATATATATAAAAGGCCAGGTGGTAATCAAAAGATAATGGTATAAACATAAAAAGTGACCAAAATCTATTTATTAACAGAAAATAAAAACAGTACAATATCCATTATATTTTTACAGCACTGACCGGGCCCCCTGGAAATTAATTTCTATCGGGTGGACCTAAGAGCAAAAAACTAAACTAAAGAAAACTCATTAATATTGCTGAGTAATTGTAATAACATTTACAAATAACCTGTTTGTTTGTTGGAAAGTCTGGGGCTTTCTGTGAATTACATATACTCTTTGACCAATAGACACAACTGAACATTTGAACTGCTATCCATACTTAAATTTTGTCGGATCCTACCTTTCACAACAGAATTTTTTAAACACTCATTTTGAGTCCTTCAATGGGAGACTTCAATGTCTCAGGGGAATATATATCTTATATTCACAGTTTACTCTTTTTGAAACACTGTCCTCGGCCCACTATTTCCAATGAACATGAGAAGCGGATCCGCAGACAACTGGGACAATATCATTCACAAGAGCCACATGGTTTATAACCTTTGATAAAACATCTATAAAGTAACTGACCTCAGACAGTTTACAATAAATTTATTTAATTTTACCATTTACTGACTTTCAAGTAGCAAAATGGGTTCCTATATCGTAGAGCTGGTTGTGAGTTCAACAACTTTGGCTGATAATATTTTGCTGGATAATGTTATGCTGCTTTACAAAAAAACGAAATTGCAGTGATTGGGGTCAAAGGAATGGGTCTTCAATACTGTTTTAGCTATGACTTATAGCCTGAGCAGCTTGATAGTCACTATAACGAACGCTGGTATTTCAGATACCCGTTCGTCTGTTTCTTCCCAAACTGCTAGAGGCTGAGTGATTATAGCTCGCAGTTCAGGTGTTGATTCGAATGTTCTCCAGACGAAATACAGCATCCAAGTATATTCACCAAGCAAATCAGACCGATACCCAAACATCAGCCAAGACTAGAGGAAGGGTAAAACAGGAGTGATTTTATTCAGTTTTATCTACCGAACGAAGCAAAATCTAAATTACTGAATACAAAGAATAGTTTCTTCACAGTCACTAATTATGTTTGCAAATGTTGCTAGATATCTCATCTGATTCTCCACCCCAAATTAAGTATTGGCGGTACAGTCTATGATTTTGCTCCCAATATTTTATCTTAGTCAAGAAAAATGTTTATTGTGACTCTTCTAAAGTACAAATATTTTACAAAATGATAGTATGAGTTTACTGGCCAAAACTCCAACATGTAAAGAAACACAAACAGCATGCATCAAAGAAGAATTTTATTTTCCTGGAAGTATTTATTGAGGTCGACTAAAAGGAATCGTTTAAAAAACTTGAGAAATAGAAAACTTAAAACAAAATGACAATTATTAGCTGGTATAGTAAAACAGACCTTGATCCAAGACGGCTTCATAGGAAATCAAATTGCTATCACCTATTTCTTGCACAAGGTATACATGTTGTGTAAAAAATTTCCATTTTCTGTCCTATCAGTCATTCGCTGCTAGTCACTACCTAGTATTTGCTAAATTGGCATGTAGTGTTCTCTCTGTATTTATGAAATGTTAATTTCACAGAAATTGCAACCCAGTCAAAAGATATCGTATGGTAAAGTAGGGTATTTTTCCTACGCTTGACAGAAAGGCAAAGCTACCGCTGTCAAGCTTGGTCTAGCCCCGAGCTGTCACTAGAGACAGCTAGAGGGAAAAAAGTTCAGTCTATGGAGACTGCCTTGGTCTTGGAGGATCCTCCGTAGACATCACTTCAGTACTCTCATGCATGTACTGACGTCGGGTCCTGGCAGATGAAGCTCCAGTAACTGATGAGGATGAACTGGTGGAAGAGGCCAAGAGCGACAGGTTCAGCTTACATTAGTCCTGACAATACTAAATCAACCCATTATGTTTTAAGGCTCTATTATACTTAATTTCAATTATTTTTTTTAAATGCACAAGCTACTATTATATATATACTGGTGGTGGTAATGATAGCGGTGATAAATATTATTTTGTAAGAGGTTATACTCTGTACCCATAATAGCAGAGACAAGCATTACACCATGAGGTATATTCTCTACAATGTCAATTTTAAAAACTGACAAGGATTGGCAATTTATGGGTCAAATGAGTCGTACAGTAGAAATTGTCCGACCTGCAATTTTTCCAGCTCCATGACTTAACAATTCTTGTTATAGAGATCATAATAACCAAACCAAAGGTTGAGGTGCCATATTTTTTCCCCTTAATACACATTTTAGCATTATGTATAATCAATATTATACAAACAATTTAAATTTGGCGTTATCATTCCTTAGGACAGCAATGAGACATGTTCAGTTTGCCAGAGATTGGTCAGAGTATTTTGAGGTTACTGTACTACTTACTTTATCCACTCTCCTTTTAGAGATATCCTGGGAGAGGAGCTGAGGAGGGAGATCCTCATTGCCTATGAAAACCACTGCTATTTTCACTTCACATTAGTTATGGAAGACGTGCTGAATTAAGCTTATTTAAGATGTTATTGGGGCAGGAATGTACGAGTGTCTTCTTACCTTCAGCAATTACCCAATTAATAGGCAGCCACGTAGAGGCTGAGAGCATCAGCTGATCATCTCAGCTTATCAATGGGCGCCCACTGAGAGAAAAAGTAGGTGTCTAGATACTTCTTCCTTATACTGTAGAGAGGAACAGAAGCTGGGAAGCAGATGTGCCTAGTGCCGAAGCCCCATTTTATGGGTTAAACCATTAACAAACAGTTTTCATCCCTGAAGGTGAGAAGGTACCTAGACACTCCTGGCCCCATAACAACTTTAATAAGCTTAGGGACACTCTTCTGCCCAAATACAGGGGAAAAAAAATAAAAAAATAATGATTTAGAGGATATACCCCCAATAAAACATGTAAACATTTAATAATACTTTTGTTTTCATTGGAGGTATATCTGAAATAGCTTGCAAGCCCTCTCCTGATCTAAACAACCAGGAAGAAACATGACTTGTTGCTTGATTGACAGCTGTGGGTGTAACAAGGTAAATTTATAAAAGTGGCAGTTTCTATTGAAATCTGTACATTTTGTAAAATTAAAGAAGAGGACACACTCATCACTGTCACGATTACTATATGATACAACACGCAGAACTATGTAACATAAAATAGAAAACACAATGAACAAGGACAACATATACCGGGGCCTTAGAATGGTCGGACTTAACGTAAATAAGACTGTTCAAAAATACCAGCCGAGGTCAGGGACACAGAAAAAAACACAACAAGGAAGCAAGCCAAAAGTCAAGGATACCAGAAATAAGGGAAAGTCAAAATACAAGCCAAAGTCAAATACCAAAAAGAACTAGAACAAGAACGCACTCTCTGACAACCAGCTAGTGGAAACCACGACAGGGCACTGACCAAATGCTATTTTGGGTTTAAATAACCCTCTTAAGGTTATGAGTGGTTGTTTGCCTTTGACCCCAAAATGTGCATGCGCGTCGTTTGTGTGATGTTACACGCACATCGGCAGCATCTTTGTTGAGGATGGAGGTGGGGCTATAATACTTTGTGGGACCGCAGCAGCCGGTGTTCATTGTAACGCAGCACCAGCCGGGGATCGCTCCACGAGGGTGCTGGGTGGTGAAATGACTTGCCTCAGGTAAGTAATTACATTTTTTTAACAGTGTGACCGCAGCGATCGGACGTGGCCACGCTGTATGGAGGCGAGGGGGACGTGACACTCACACATTCAGTAACCTAAAGAGCTCTAAGGGTCCGGTGGGTGACTTTAAGTCAGGAGTAGGCAACCTTCTGCACTCCAGATGCTGTGGACTACATCTCCGATAATGTTATTACAGCCATAATACTGGCAAAATATCAGGGAAGATGTAGCCCACAACATTTGTAGTGCAGAAGGTTGGCTACCCCTGCTCTAAGTTGTTATAAAGGTGGGAGTGTTTCTTTAAAGCTAGTGGTTGTAAATAGTCACCACTCACCACAAACATGATTCTGATCAAATCTAAAGTGTATGAGACATTACATGCCCTAGACAGGTTTCACAAAATATATTTATCTTACCTTTGATTTCTAGAATTTAAAATACATGCTGATAAAGATGCTCTA